AGGGGTTATACCGTTACTCTATGCCACTTATGAGTTTTTTTTTGTAAAACACCATTTTTGTGTCTTTAAAAAAGTCAGTTTTACAACATATTCACTTTTCCCTCTGCAAGCTAGTTTTAAATGTATTATAAAGTTCATTTTTCAGATGTTCATATAATATAATTATTCACAAATAAACTTACTGATCGTCTGCTGAATGAATTCTGCATATTTAGACACTTTAGTATATACTCCAGCCATGAATCCTACTTCAAAGCTTTTGACACCGACAAGGTTCCAGGTACCATCATCTGACTCGCACATCAAAGGACCACCTTTGTCATTCTGTCGGTAACGTATTGAATCGAATATTAGCATATTAATATAATAATAATAATAATTATTATTATTATTATTACGGCTATTACGATTATTACTAATATAAGCATCATCTTTATTAGTAACATCGCCGTCATTTTTTTCATCATCATTACTATCATTTAAATCATAATTGTGACTGTTATTGTAATTGCTGTTATTATTACTTGCTTATCGTTAGACTTATTGATATTGTTATTATTTTTGTTATTATCATCTTTATCACAAATTGAAAAAAAAAACCCGGAACTGGGGCTGTAAATAAATCTTATCGTATATAAATAAAATATTATTAAAACATGTTTATTCCTCTTTTATTTATGATTTCAAACATCTCCATTCTTATTCAAGAACGTTATTCATAATAATGTAAATATATACAATGGCATTTGAATATCTTAGTGATCACAAGTAATATGAAAAATAACTTACGAATAAAACGAGTACACTGCTAGAAGTATATATAGCACAAATCATATTGTCAGTTACGTTATATTCGGGGTATAGACTGCGACATTCTTCGATACTCAGCAGGAAAACACTTCTATCTTGCAGATTGGTACCTTGTAAAAATAATGCATTGTTTAGGGCGAATCACCTGAGTGATACAGCTATCGACGTACTGAAGTAAATTTTTTGGAGTAATGATGATGATGTTGTTACCAAAACGTCTTACTGGTATGCTTATTCAAATGGAAGGACGACTGAAGGAATGTACAGAATTTCATTTTCAATAAACTAAAGAGTATTCGTCAATTATGGTGAAATACATGAAATCTGAGAAACTTGCGCATGCGTAAGCTGTTTGTTTGTTAATGTCGTTCGTGAAACATCGTGTTTACACTTTTGTGGGAATTGATTGATGCAGTTTGTAACACTATTTTATAGAATGCAGATGAGAAATACAAAATTGGAGGGTGTACACCCATTCGAATTTTGATTTGACTTTAAGCTAACATTCACATTCTGGTTACAATGACTAAATAATAATTATCCACTTCCTACTTAAACAGTTGTTTTTATAATGATTACGTAAAGTTATTAATTAGCCTAAAGTTATGATATATATTTTGTTTGCCTTTTTTTAAAGAGTCGTCTACGTAACAAAAATACACCGAGAGCCTAACTTTTCAAATGCACATTTGCATTTCTAACCACATGTCCTATATGCCACCAATCAAGTGTAGGCCATTGAAGTATCTATGATGAGTATTTAAATAGTGGAAAAGCTGGTTGAGGTCATGAAGTGAAAGAAAAGTCTTCAGCTTGCACGATAATATGAAATGATGTGATTTTTAACTACATGAGCGTACTTTGTTGCTAAATAGATTTCTAGTGAGGAACGTCTTGAGGGGCTAGCTTTTTTGGAAGGCGTGTGCTGCACCCACAAATGTGAAAACACCCACAATTGTAACAACTTCCACAAATGTAACAGCACGCCGCCCACAAAATGTAATAATGCCCACAAATGTAACAACCAGCACCCACAAATGTAACAAACAGCGCCCACAATTGTAATAACGATCACGTGGTACCGCCCACAAATGTAACAACAAAACATGACCTCTTCGCCCACAATTGTAATAATTTTCTTTTAACTTGGAATGTATGAGAAAAGGCCTAAAAAGATTGCCAAACCGCGCATTTTGTGAAAGAAGCATGACATTTTGAGCGTTTGATTTAAAAGGCGTACGAACAACAAAAACAGTGCATAAGAGTAATTTTTCTAAATGTCTCCGGGAGGGGTTAAAAATTAAAGATTAAAGGAGGAGTACATTATGTGTCAAAGGTTATGTTATTTTTGGAAATATATCTCATTGGAAGAAATAGAAACATGTATATAGACCTACTGAATATTTTGAAAGAAAATTAACTTATACGACCAGCGGTTGTCAAGATACGGATGCCCTATAAATTATGTCCCCAAATAATGTGTATAATCAAGCTAACTTGCATATTATATAGGGTATGTGACGGAGGTATACTTTTTGCAATTCCCTTTCGTTTTGTCATTTCTTGATTATTAACTTGATAATAACTATTTCTTGATAATAACTATGATTATTGCAAAAAAAAAAAAAAATATGGCGACTATTTTGAAATTTCGAGCTTATTCGAGTGAATGCCACTTATTTTTAACATTTTATAGATCTCCGTTCCACAACCTATGGGTCCCGAAATAATTTTGATTGATCGATTTTATGGAAACGGAGAGTCCATTTTTAAACATCTGGGAGGGTTAAAGGTCTTTTGAGGTCCAATATTGATTTTGATAGTAGGTCTAAATCATTATGTTCATTATGCATGCTGCAAAAATGGTATATTAGTTAAATGTGATGGAGAAGCTTACCAGTTGTGACGACAGTTTTCAGGTTATTCCATGTCAAAGGTTATTTCAAGTCAAATGCTAGAAAACGTGATATTATGTAATGGTACATGCAGACGCAGTTAGCAATATGTTTGAATCTCTGTCGTTCATGGCATTCGCTCAAATAAGCTTAAATTTCAGAATACTAGTCGTCATGTTTTTATGCAGTAATCATAGTTACGGAAGAAATAACAAACAAATGAGTTCAAACGTTTTGAAAACTTGACAAAAGCGAATTCCCGAAATTATACCTCCATCACACAGTGCCCCATATAACATGCCAGTTAGCTTAATTATACAAATTAGTTGGGAAAATATATAGGGCATCCGTATCTTGACAACCGCTGCTGCTCAGCCACTTGTCGGAAGATAATTTTCTTTAAAAATATTCATTAGGCCTATATATGTGTTTCTATTTCTTCCAATGGGATATATATATTCCGAAAATAACATAACCTTTGACACATAACATACACTCCAAGACCCTTTGACATTTAACCCCTTCCAGACAGTGTGTGTAACTATTATATATGAGCCATTGCTAGATTAATTTCAACCGTTGAGTGGACAGGCTCTGTTACATATACTGCACGAATATTGTAGCTGACTTATATATAAGTCACGACTTACATGCACGCAACTGTAAAATCATAATCTTACCATATTCCAGAGAAAGTCCCCATCCTGCTGCATAACACAATGTACCTGGCCGATATTCCAAGTTTTCATAGCAAATTGGTTGAACAAAGAGATTAAATTCTAGCGGTGAATCGAGTCTAAGTAATGCAATATCATTATCATTACTAACGGCATCATATTCTGGATGGATGATAGTCTCGGCAATAAGGACACTTCCACGAAACACAGAATTATCGCGTGAAGTTGTTATTCCTGCCGTAATATTATTAAACTCATCACTGGAAAAAGGAAAAAATACTATACTCATGTACCGTCGTACCGATATGATATTTTTCATACATTTAAGATGAATCAAGAGTTATTGCAATTGTCTGTAATTTTATCATTTATTTTTGTTAGTAGTGGTATCATCTCCCCACATATGCTACATAATGTCAATAAATTTTTTGCTCACTCTATTTCAATGAAATAATTCACCTTCATTATTTAGTGCTAGCCATAGCAAATTTTATTGGTTCTTTACTGACAATAGACAATGCAGAGAATGAGGGTAGGCCTAGCTATCGGCAATTCAATAAAAACTTATCCAGCAATGTTTGGAAAACATTTAGGTTCGTGGTCGGACAATGAACATGTTCTAATTTTTTAATCTTGTCGTTTTGATTAAAATTTTGATACTTTATATCGAGAACATTTATGTTGTAGAGTTTTTATGTTATTATTGTACCTTAAGTTTAATTTGGCAAATTTTTACATTTTCTCAAAAGCGTAAGTCTACATGTGTCCACATAATAATTAATAGCATTACTTAAAGCCTGTTAGTAGCGAGCAGCGGCTAGGATTGATCAAGTGATGCTTCACAAAATTTACTGAAGAAAAGTATTAATCCTTTATACATCAAGTATAAGACCTATTACTTGAGACGGTGCCGTTATATGAAACCCCATCTTAAAACGAGATATCACTAAACTGGAAAAGGTGCAGATAAAATGCAAATCCTCACTATGCATAGGCCTACCAAACCTTTCGATCTTAGAGGTCACTCCAAGCAACTTCAGAAATTAAAACTAATATATGAAGTTGAAAAGGAATTTCTAGGAAAAAATAGATTTGACGGCTGCAATAGTCTACGGCTTTGTATTGTATCTGCACCAACTTTGGTATCTTTTAAAAAGACCGTTTCCGATGAAAAAGGGTCAAGCAATAAAGTATATCGTAATACATTTTCGTTCACAGTTTTTTAACCAAAAATTCAATACATTATTATCTTTTGAATTAACTTTAAGTAGTTTGTTGATATGAGAATAAAATGATTAATATCTAAGGGCAGACAAAATGTGAAATAATATCTTACACGCAGTGAGCAGCAGTTATGGCCCATCGTTCGCTGATTAAAGAAGCACCACAGCTAAATAAAGGCCTATCATAGCTCCCATACAAAAGCACCCAGGGCCAATCTCCCGGATGTGAATCTTCAACACCAACAATTCGAAAACTGCTTACTTGAGTTTGTTGCATTCCACATACAGTAACAGATGCTAAAATGATTAATTATCAAACTTTTAATTTCAAAATAGATGGTGAAATATTCTAAATAGTTAACACGCTAATTAAAAAAAATACAGTATATCTGATAGTAGTTTGTATTTTTCAGATGGAAATATTATTTTATATAATTATTTTTAATATATATTTTTATTGTTTATGTTAAATGTTGCTGTTATTAGTACTGTGAGTCCGATTGCCGAGCGGTTAAGGTAAGGTACACCCATAATATCGTCGCTGATTCGAATGGCACAATCGCCTGGTTCCGGTAGTGGAACACGCCTCCTCTAACCCAGACGCTATGTTTGTATAAAGGGCTAACGCCTGTGATGCTTGAATGATTTGACCTCATTTCAAGAGATTGACCAATCACGATTGAAATAATTAGCTACTTTGGTCTTTTTCCTGTGCTCTCTATAAATGAAATTGTACTTTTTCTATTGCATTTTACTTAGTTATAATGTATATGATTTGTTGATTGTGCTTTGTAAGGTATTTTAACCTATTTAGACTGTCTATTAAAACCTGCAACAACAATGCTAGCTGAAAAATCAAAGTAAATTTGTTCATTTAAAATACAATAATCATATAAGTTCACTTCGAACAATTCACAGATTTAAAAGTTTTACTGATGCTATGTGATTTAAGACCTGGTTTAAGCTTAAGTCGGAAATATCAAGGTTCAAGTCTCCAGTGAGGTAAGCGTGTTTTCTTTTATTGTTTATTATTTCCATTAAGTTCAGAGTAATGTTTATTGAATGTGTGTATTATGCTTTCAGAGAACCCATACATTACTACATACAATATAACTGATTTTCCCTCAATTTCAATTTCAATAAAGAAGCAGCAACCGTAAGTACAGTATAGTGCTGAGA